CTAGTTTTTTTTTTTATTTTTTATTTTTATATCCAATAAGTCTCCTTTGCGTACCGTGGATTTTTGTGGTGTTCATGGGATTCTTTCCTTTTTTTGCCTTTCAACATTTGATATGTAAGGGAATATGGTAGAGTTTTCAATTTCAGAATAATTATTGGGTATTGTTTTTCTTATCATCACCTTCATTTTACACTCTTCCTAGTTGGCATAAGAAGAAAATACTTAACTAATGTATGCAGAATTTTTCTAAGACTTCCCCCTTTCTTCATTTAGATTGTTCATTTACTCCAATGAAAAAGCATGTGGACTCAATTATTCTCTTCCCTTTTTCTTGAACTCACTCTCTTAGTCGAGTTCTCTCAATCATTTTTATAGCATTGTTCTAACATTTGCCATAATTATGCCATCTCATTGTAATATGTGATATTGTTTTGATTGCGAAAGATTTTATTATAATTTAAAGTTATGTGAGGAATTTTCTAAATTTGAATAGATTTTATGAACATCCCATCCATTCTTTGTGGTAGGAGGAATACAACAAATTATTTTTTTCATATGCCTCCTCTATTGAATTTAGGTGCCAGCCATCCTCAAAGTTTTCTAATCTCCATGCGATGAATGTTGGACAATTTGTGGCTTGTTTTCTGATTTCGTGAGTCAAGGTAGCCTTACTATCTCTTTCCATGAACGATGACTTAATTGATTTAGACTGCTGTAAATGGGAGCTATAGTGGGTGTGTTCAATGCTGACCACAATAGTTAAGTACTTTTGATTTTTTGTACTGAGGAAGGATAGGAGGTACCACGATCATTCATGGCAATTCTTTATCTTGCCATCCATCACATCAAATTTGGGCCTATCCTCTGCAGCTCTAACCAGTGTATGACTGTTGCAACTCCATCGGGTGGCAAAGGAAAAACTTAGAAGGACCTGCATGGAGTTTTTGGGCAGCAGGGAAGAAACCAACGGAGAGAGCATGTAGGCTGGTTACTGGGATTCCATTCAAGGATACATCCAATCTTACCTCTGTAATATTCTTTCTCAAGTCATTTGGAAAGCAAACCAAAGATGAACTCCTCTATAACAAGCTTCTCTTCGTTTTCACAATCCATGCATGTGAAATGGTGGAGGACGCCACAGAGGCAGCTGTTGGAATTCACGACCAACAAAAAGGTGTCGGTAAGATTTACAGGGAAGTTTTCCAGCTGGTAGAGATGATTTTCGACTGTTAGGGACTTGCAGGGAAAATGTCTCGTTGCTTGAAATCTGTAAGGAAAAATCTGCATAGGTAGATCTTACGGCGGGAAAACCTGCAGGAGGGAGGTCCGGTGACGGGAAAGGCTGCAAGGGAGAGAACTGACCACAGGAGTAGGTTCGGCGGTCCTTTCGACAGCAAATATGTCCGCAGGAAGTGGTGGCGGGAAAGGCTATAGGAGAGAATTCTGCTGGCAGAAAAGGTTGCAGGAGGGGATAGGTCCGGCTGTAGGTAGGTGCATCGACGGTCCTTGATGGAGTTCGTGAGGTCCGGTGGCTGGAAGCTCCCACAGAAGGATCAACAGCCGAAACCTGTAAGGAAAATGTCCATGGAAGAGTCTGCAGGGAAGCCAACGGGGAAAATGGCTCCTCTGCTTTGTGCGGTTCTGCTGTAAAGAGAAAGCTGAGATTTCCCCTAGAAAAATAAATCCTGCATTCGAATCGGGATTTCCACTAAAAAGAGAAAAGAATAAATTCCGTTCTTTGGATTAAAAGAATAGAATAAATTATGTTATCTGGATTGAGAACAGTCGCAGGCCACCGGATCGCGATTTCCGCTACAAAGAGAAAATTTCGCGTGAGGGTCGTGATTTTCCCTGGAAATAGATACTATGCTTTATGGAGGCCGGCATAGTCGCGGCTCTTGGCTCAGCAGATCGGGAAGGGAAAGAATCATGCAGGATTACATCAAAAGAGGAGGCAATGCTGTGGAGGGCTTGTAGGGAGAGAAGAAGATGATGTTTCCATTTCAAGCGACAGTCTTGGTTGCGGTAGCCAAGGCAAGAGAAGTGCGTCTCTCCCTTTCTGCAGCGATGATGGCATGAAGGGAATCTAACGGCTCTGAAGGAGGACCGGCTAGGGTAGGAAATTTGTCTCTAATATCATGTTGAAATTCATAATAATGTAGAATTTTTTATTGGTATGAAAGGGGGTTTAAATAACACTTATATGAATTATAGAATATAGGAAAGATAATAAAAAAGAAAGAACAAGAAATGAAAGATCACCTAATATTTCCAATTAATCAATTCATATTAATTATTTGGAGATAAATGAAATAACATAAAAAAGGAAAGTCTAAAATAGGAAAGTAAATAAATCTAATCCAAGAAAATAAGTTTAAAATAGGAAAGGAAAAAAATAAAGTTATATTAGGAAATAAATGTAATCCTCATAACTTGTAACAGGAATAAATTACTTTTTAACGTAACTTCTAATACTTTTACTTTACACTCTTAATACTTACAACCAAACAATCCCTTCTAAAGCCTTTTTGTTTAGGATGAAGCGTCAAAATTTCCTTTGGGTAGTTGCATGAGAAATAAAAAGGTTTTTGATCTGCTTTCCTATACAATTTATTCAGTCAAGTTTTTTTGTTTTTAATTTTTTCTTATATCTCTCAATTTTGATTGTCCAGAACTTTGAAATCCCAATCTCCCATTATTTATCATTGTAAAAGTAAAAATTGTCATATTCTCTCTCTCTTTCACTCTATCATAGTGCATAGATGAGATGGGACTTAAATTTATTCATCCTGTCAGTTAATTATAGTACATGTGAATCATTGAAAGTAACTTTTTGAGTCAAATAATAACCCAATTTTATTTCTTGTTAAATTTTAAATGTGAAATATTTGTAAGCCCAGGATTTTGAAATATTATTTGCTTAAAATCCTTGCCTTTAGTTCATTGTTGGTGGGAGGATTTGAAAGAGAAGCTTTTTCATCCCCTTCTACTAAGAAAAGCCTTGGCTTCGATCACCTTCAATTATATACTGAAGTATAGAAGCTTTATGGAATGTTGGTGAAAATCTATATGTTGATGCCGTTGTCCAGCTAATTCTTGCAAAGAAACTTGGCTTTCTTGATCTTGTGCAAAAAGGTGACATTCATTTACATGTTGCTACTAAAACCATGCTGTTTTTTTGAATGACTAGGTGCTTGCTATAATGTTCTGGACCTGGCTGATCTTGTAACAAATTTTTTTTCAGCCACCATAGTTTGTTCCTGCCAGGCTATCTGATGCAAGATGGCTCATAGCTAGGGTTTTCTAATGCAAATAATTTGATACGTAGTATGAATTAATACAAAGTAATATGTGGATTTATAATTCATTACCCACCAACTAATTTAAAACTTTCCTTTTTTAAATGTAAACAATCAATATTAGAGTTAGAATTCAAATTATAACAAAAAGATCTAAAGTGATCCGAAGATATTGAAAAGAAATTAGAATCAAGAAAATTTAACTTGCATTTTTGATTCAATTACCATAATTAGGTTCCTAATTGTGCAAATTTGAATAAAATCAGGACACTGGCAATAACAAGTTATGCATAAAAAATTGCATAAAGGAAAACAGTTACCAAATTAAGAAATGTCTGCATCATATAGATGGAAGGAGATGATTTCCCTTGAAATTAGGTAGTCACACTTGTATTGTAATTAAAAAAAGCGCATATGCAATTTTGTCACACATAATTGATAACTTGAAGAAAAATTTTACTCAATTAAAATTGTTCAATTACTGGACTCAGAATATCTGTATATATTTATATAATTCTTCTTTCAAAAACAGAAATATCCAATTTTATTTGGTTGGCTGCTTAATCCATTTGAAACCATCAGAACTCACGGGGATGAACAGTTTGATATGGAAGCAAAGCAGAGAAAGAGTAGTTGGTACAAGTTGTGCCCGCCTGAACTATTAAAGCTGTTGAAATCCTCAGATTGTGATAATGCTCTTATTTTTTCAAAACAGCATTCAAGCTTCAGCTGAATATTCACATTAGATGGTCCATCAAGCAGCATAAGTTAACCCCTTCCATTTGTTAATCATCATCCATATGTTAAGCTTTTACTGAATATCCACTTTAACTGGCCCTTTAATTAACATAAATCAACTTGAAATGGTCCAAACAGTAAAGCCCATGAGCATCAATTCTTAAAAGAAACCTAAAACTGGCATGCTATGATTGAGCTAACATCAATACTCCTTCAACTCTGTAATATTTAATCCATTGACAGCAATAAATAGTGACCGAACTGAAGCGAGTCACCTTTGAACACAGAGAACACTACTCATTCTCATAGGAATCATTATAACCATCTTTAAGCAATTAAATTAAAATTGAAAACTGTAAATAGCAATGAAGCTAAATAAAAATTTGTTTGGAGTTTTTGACGGCTGTAGCCTTGCCAATTTTCATCACTAACCAAAGCAATCGTAGTTTGTTTCTTTTTATTATTTCTTTTTTTAGTTATTTTACTTGCAAAAGTATCTGTATTTCATCACAACCTTTTTAGCTAACTTCTTCATTTATGGCTTTCATTCTAAAATAGTTTTGGTCCTATACCTAGCCTCTGTTATACTTTTATTTTCATTTCTGACATTTTTTCTTCTTATGACTAGCTTTATTTTTATATGAAATGAAATCTTCATTGTTTCTGTTTTAATTGGTGATTGACATTTTTCTAATGTCATGACATTATTCCTGAATTGAATGTTTATTTTGATGTTTTGCATGTTTAATATAGTTTCCTAATCAGAAGGCGACACTAACAAAGCTTGTTTAATATTTTGGAGTAATTTCACTGAATTTTTTGGGCTTCTTACAAAGAATTTACTTTCTTCACTTTAAGGAAAATTCATTATAAGCCTTTTAGCTTTTTCTGATTGAAAGGTTTGATAACTAAGACTTATTTTTGCATGGTTATATACAATGCCTTTTTTATTCTTCTAATCAGGTTGCGGAAGACCATTTGAAACAGTTAGTGAGTGATGCGGCCAGTGCAGCCCTTTCTGATTTGCAATCTGAGCCTCAAGAACTTGAAGCTATCCTTAGTGGTATGTAGTTGAATTCCAGCGTTCAATCTTACAAATTGTGAAGCATACGGGCAAGGTGCCAGCTTTTACCCATGAGTTAGGTAGTTTACTTAAGATAATTAAGGTAGCCTTTAAGTCTTTTTTTAATGCTATACATTATGATAAGTTCAAGAAGAAACTAAAGACCTTGTTAGAATACACTGCTTGACATGGTTTTGAATCATTTTGCTGTCTCAAAACATTCTTGGAATTAAACTTGATATCTTTCCTCTGGTCATCGGCTGGAGCAGATTCTGTACTTCAAGGCCTCAGACTTGGCAGATTGTATCTTTGACTGAATATGCTGATAAATGCAAAGGGAGTTGAAGCTTAAACGAGGAACAACACTTTTCTCTATTCACAAACCTTCGTAAAAGCTTGAGATCTGCTTTTAATTTGAAGCTTCTTTGTATACTGGGAAAATAATTTTCCAAGAACAAATAATGCCCGTGTTTCTAATGGCGTGAAATATAAGCCTTAAATAAAAAATTGACATAATTTCAATGCATTATTTTACATGAAGAGTAGTATAATTTTTACTTGGGCCAGCAGTAAAGTGGCTTTGAACATTTATCATGTAAACAGAAGATGAAATAAATATTTTATGGGATAACTGTTTTTGGGAGCGTGATGTATGGACTTGCGTGGTTGTCTCTTCCAATATGTTGAAGGTTTGCACCCATTCTTACCCTTTGTAGTCATCTGCTATAAAGAGTCAACAGTTTAATGCTGCAACCAAATGCAAGTTTTGAATTCAGTTTGGAATTCGGAAGATTGCAATTTTAGGCTTTGCACCACTGCCATTTTTATAGGTGAACGCTCATGAACCTAAAAGTTCAATTGAATGATAAGGGTTATTTCTATTGAGATGGTATAAACTTAGTTCGTGTTTTACTTTCAATATGATTTTATTCTCCAACCAATTTGGATCTTAAAATTCACCCCTCAAATAAGAGTCTTCCACATTGACTATCTATCTCTATCAAACCTAAGCTTTTTAGCTCCATCAAGTTTTATGAACCAAGAGACCACTAAACTATATCCAGCCTACATGAAAGTTATCTACTCTTATACTTGAACGATCATAATAGAAGCAGCTAATGGCTCATGGGAGCTCTAAATCCCATGAAAATCTTGGTCTTAGTCGAACCATCAGATCTGATAGAATTTGGATAAGGATTAAATATCAATACCTAAATTGAGTGAAAAAAACTTGTATATGGATTCAATAAATCAACTTTTTATTGACGATATGCCTGTAGAGCTCGTGTTGTTGCAACATGAATTTTTAAATATGATCATAATCACAGTTATGTTTATCTTTGCCAGCCTCAGATTACCCATAACTTGCTTTAATGATGTTATGAGATATGCCTGTAGAGCTCGTGTTGTTGCAACATGAATTTTTAAATATGATCATAATCACAGTTATGTTTATCTTTGCCAGCCTCAGATTACCCATAACTTACTTTAATGATGTTATGATTAGTTGTTAATAGGAATTCCTGGATTATGAATATCCTGTTGTGTGCAAATATCATGTCTTTTTTTTTTCTACAGATGGTATTGGATTCTCAAAATTACGATTATTTCTAATTTTTTTTGTATTGCATTTTAAGGTAGAAATTCTAGGAATTTCTAAGATTATTGTGCATTTTTTTTCTGAAGTTCAAATTAATTTTATTTTGGCACTGCTCGCAACTATATAAAATAAGAGGTGTATCATGCATGCAATCATTCGATTCTTGCCGGAATTTAAATAATGAGGAAAATTATGGTATTATCTTCCTTTTTTCCCCTAGAGTTTCATTGTGTTCATTTTCACTGTATGCAAATCATTGTCAAATTATTAACTCACCAACATTTACTTTTGTTCTCTATGTTTAAGTTGCGTTCGTTTAACTGTTGGTTAAATTTTTTATCAATTGACTAAGGTTTATAGTTAACAACCTCCAGTTCAACATAATTGTTCTGTTATCTTTGCTATATCTAGCTGTCATTCCTTTTCCACAGTCAATTTTGTCTGTCAGACGTTGTGCCATTGTGCTATCTTTATCTGGTAACATCATGCCGCTTTTTAACTTTGTTGTCTCACTTTAAAATACCGTAGACAGAGAAAGTGGAAGGAGTGGAGAAAAACACACACATGTGCATTCTATGCCTTCAGATTCAACTCAGCTTACTCCTGGTTGATCTAGATGCGGTTCACCGCAAACTAAATTAGCTCAGACTTTTTGAAACTCCTAAGTTTTCTTCTCTAAAATTTTGAATTGGCTTACAGTTTTAGTAAAGAATTTTTCTTTGATCACATCATGTGCTTTGTGACCTCTACTGAATGTTTGTATGATATTTGTACATGCTCCCCATGTATTCTGTTTTTTTTTTGTACAAATTATTTCATCGGCTTATGATATAATCTATCTGGCAAATTTTCTTTCTGCAACCTGTCCGCAATACCACTAAAAAAATGATATAGAAAGTAGATTATTCTCTAAAATATATTCTCCAAAAATCTATCTGGCAAATTTGAAAAAATTGCATGTTGTACGGTTATCATATATCTTATAGATTGTTATGATTAAATTCGTTGGGAGTACAATATCATATAATCATGGTTAGTCTATCTTTCATGTTCATTTTCAAGGCGGGTCGAGACACCATACTGGACAGAGCTGTTTTCGGTTTGTATTCCTGCACTTTGCTACAGCCTGCATATTAGCATACCTTGCATTCCGCATTGCCGAAAAGTTTACCCATTGATCGAATTTTTGCTCCAAATTGGCCAACTTCCATAAAGCTTAGCTTGTTCAAAATTTTATAGTATTAAGTGTTAATTATATAATTCCATTCACTTTCTATGTTAAGTACCTCCAAAAAAAGAAAAAAAAAGAAGAGAATGTAAAACTTCACTTGTATTTTAATGTCTTTCACCTCATGCCCCTTTTTTGCTTTGAGCATTTGTGATTTGTATCCAAGATCTCTTCATTTTTATGCCATAATGTTCTTACCGTTGTATACCCTCATAGAAAAACTTGTTTATCCCAACTTTATTATGCCATTTACATTGGGCTGATCTAATTGATCCCAACTCGTTACAATTATTTGCTTTTCTTTGTTGCTTCAAATCCTTGACTCACGCATAAGCTTCACATTTTGCTGTATTAAGAGGAACGCCTACCATAACTGAAGCTTTTAAACTAAAATTGGCATCCATGAAATTGGTCTGTAGTTTATTATTGTTTGGACTCCTGTAGTTACCACTTTTATATCCTTTTTTGGGAAATATTATGTATTGGACTTGAGTTAAATAATTGACTCTTTTTTAACTTTGCAGAAACTGAGTTGAACTTTTGTCCATCTTGGATACAGACCTTCAATAAAGAGCTAAGAAAGACCATTTCTTTCTCAGAGCACGAAGCTTTTGATCATCCTGTGGCATGTAAAGCTTTGATTTGTTCTTTCAGTAGTTTTGTCAGTTGACTTTTATTTTTGTTTTGTGGCTTTTCACTTGATACAGTATTTCTTTCAATTCTAAGAATTACTGCTCACAATAATTCTTTTTGTATACTTACATAAACGCATACATACATGCAGGTCTTTTGGTTGTCTCATCAAATGATGCACAGCCGATCAATAGATTTGTTGATCTATTCAACACCGATCAGTTGCCATCTCTTCTAAATGATGGTGTTATGGATCCCAAAGTTTTGAAGCAATATCTGTTGCTTCATGACAACCATGACGGAACAATGGACAAGTAAAGCATTTTTCAAATGGAGGACCTTTTTCCAAACTTTAATATCAGAATTAAAAATAAACTCTGCTTCCAAGATTTTGCTTTCTTTCTTCTTTAGGTTTACAACACTTTGAATATACGCGTAAGAAGCGCGCACACCACATACATGTACCTTGACATTTATAATATATTTACTAGAATCTATCTATCTATCTATATATATATATATTGAGAAAGCCCAATGACTAATATATTAAAAAATATAATAAAAAGAAAGAAGGATACAGATAGATTGTGTGAGAGGGCCCAAGCATGACACCCTACCCACACGATAAACACCACATGCAAATGATTCAAAAAAAAAGAAAATATAGAAAAATACATGAGAGCAAAAAAAAAAAAAAAGCCAAAACACATAGTATTAGGTAGTTAGAGAGCGACCCAATTTTGTCCTGCCTCTGCCTCTAGTTCTAGAAAAGGAGCCAGCTAACAAATTGATAAGATAAGTGTCGTTGTCAGTAGTAACTAATGTATCATCCAATAAGTTACTGAGCTCGAGTCGACATCCATTCTTCTTCTTCCTCCTGAAATAGACATGTCATTCCTCATTCGAATACTGACCCATCTGATCAGTGGATTGGTCTAAAGTATGTCGTACATGTGTAGGTTGTTGAACATTAGAAGCAATTACTTGTTATACCAACTGATCTTTTATTGAATCAAAGGAGCTCTCTTGTGTGTCTTGGCATGTAAATGAGCCTTCTTCAATAACAATGAGTGATATAGACAAGTTTGGACCTGTACTTGTAGTATGGGGAGATGCTTCATGGGACTCTAAAGTACCATTCTCTAAACGAGCAGCTGAGATAGACTGTTCAAAAGCGGTAGTATCCCAGGTTAGAACAGGTTGAGTATGATGTTTTTTATCAAGAACTGCGGTGTTGGAAGGAGGGTCAGGCTGCTCCTTCTCAGCAGGGATGGTAGGTGGCAAGACGTCAACCCCTAATCCAGTATGAAAAGATTATTGAACAGGTTGCTGATCTTTAGCAATATCGGGCCTTAGATGACTATGCAAGCGATAGTAGATAGTAAAACTGTGGCCAAACATGCTATAATGAGAGCAATAAAGAGGGTGTGGTTCTAATTCAACTTTTTGCCAATGCTCGTTGTTAGTGATTCCAATCCATATCTCATCCGGAGCTGGTTGAGTGATTTCTCTCTCAACTAACACACAAGCCACAGAGGGTTTAGTGACAGCTAGCGTAGGACTATCAACCTTGAGAGACTTACCGTAAGTAATTGCTAAAAAGTATAGAATTTCCAAGTTGAACACATGTAGTTTTAACTTCAGAAACTTTATCCAAACATGAATGATATAGGACGCCGCTTTTGGATCAAAATCGACAGTATACTTCAGAATTTTCATAAAATGATTGTCGATCTTGATAACTTTACGAGAAAAAAATATGAGTGTAATCCGCATCGTGGAAACTGAATAAGTGTATTTCTGTCATCAAGTACGCCAATATTCCAACTGCCTAATAGCATCATAACATCAAAATCTTTCCGAATGATCTCAAGTTTTGGGTGACCATAGAAGAATTTTCCCACAAGAGCTAAACGCTAAGAAGATGCAAGAGTGTTGATTTCAACCTCAATGAAAATAAGTGCAGGCTTCACATTTTTTCTACCATGCTTTTTAATGAAAGTGTGATCACCACCATCTTCAAGAGTCTCGTGGAAAGATTGTGGAACATTGCAGGACTTACTGATGCCAAAACCAGACTTTGAACCTGAAAGAGGGGCACGAGCAAGAATAGAAAAGTCGTCCGCAATGACAGTTGCATGGGAACGGAGCGTCGAGACCATCTCCACCGGTAAGATGACCACGGTCAGAAAACAACGGCTTGGTGAACCGCAAGGAGGATGCGGACAGACTTCGGGAAATTGTCTGTCGGGCAAGAGAGCAACAGTCGCCTTGTCTGGAGCGAGCGAGGGGATGACTATGAAGAAGAGAAGTGTCGTTGACTACGAGAGACGACTGTGAGGAGATTGCGCCGTCGTCTATGGGAGTCAAACGTCGTTGGCTGGAGTCATCATTGACTACGGGAGACGACTGCGAGCAATTGACTTCGATCGGATAGACAACAGCGAGCGAGCGTCGTCGACTGAGAGCTGCGCATACGTGAAATCGTCGTCGTGGGAGACGATGGAGAGAAGGGGAGAAGCCGATTGATTCACCGTCGGGTAGCGCCATCTGGGGAAATAATAATAATAATAATAATAATAATAATAATAATAATAATAATAATAATAATAATAATAATAATAATAATAATAATAATAATAATAATAATAATAATAATAATAATAATTCTCAAGCCTTAAATCGGCCTCCTCTCCATCTTTTCATTGGGCGGGAATTATTCTCTTTTTTCTGTTTTTGTTTTCTGCCTATTCCATTTCTTTTTACATGTGTTTGTTGAATTAGGGTTAAGTTTTGATGAGTTTTATTTCAGATTTATGTTTAGACAGTCGTTGACATCCCTTTTCCCCTTTCTAGGGCTGTGTCCGATGGCGAGAATGTGCTTTGTCTGTAACTCTTTCCGAGTTGGTGTATATCATACATTTTACTGCTTGCTGCTGCTCTCTCAGTGCCTCCCCGCAGGCTGCCGCTTCCCCTTCCAGCTTTCCCTGTCATCACCCCATTCATATCTTGCCTTTCTGCCGTGCCGCTTTTCTCCCCTCCCGGTTTTCCCATCCGTTACTCTCGCCTCTTCTCTGCTAGCCGCACTCCACAATTACTTTGTTCCCTCCCGTGACTTCAAGTACCCCCCATCTTCCCTTTGACACCCTCACTGTCCTGTTCCCCGCCTTTAACAACCAACAACTTCCCCTTATTCTCCAACCGCAAACACACCTCTTCCCCTTTAGTTATTCTACTCGTCAACCTCACCTTCCTTCCTTTATGTCAGGCCCCTCTTCCCCATCACTTTTAAGCCATCAACCTCCCCACTTTCTCCCTTCTCAGGCACCCTCCCGCAGCCGACCTACACTCCATCACCAACCCCATTGGCCCAAATTCCACGATAGCCCTCCTGGCTGCAAGCACAGCCTTGGGCCGCCATCCTATCTGTTGTCCCGCCACCACTCACCCCTTCGTCGTCACCTTAGTGTATTTTTTTTCTTTTATGTTGTTATCATTTATTATCATTTATTTCTAGTTTTCAGAGTCTTGGTTGTAATCGTTTACATTTCAACAATAATATTTCTACCTTTCTTGTGGTTTTGGTTAACTCCGATATCATTTGATATTAGAGCCAGATTAATTGTAATCATATCCTAGAGTTTCCTAGCATCCCCCATAACCCAAAAATTTTCCTTTCTACCATCGAATAATCTTTCCATTTCTACTTCTCTAGCCATAATCCCCCCTTGCTGATTTTCAAAATCAGTAGCCTTAAACCAATTATTTATATCAACTTTCACCTCACAACCTTAAACCCTAGCCATGGCACTATGGCGATACATGGCCGAGCCTTCCCGAAATGAGATACAATGAGAGACCCGCCAAATCAGAGGAGGGTTGCGTACATTGAGGATGAAATTCAATGGGAGGTTATTCTCGACCGTTATCGAGAGAGTTGAAGGGGAGAACAAGAGAATATGAAGATGAAACTGGAGACACAATGCCAATTCTTACCAGCTTACTACAGACAAGGGGTGAAAGACTCCAGCTTTAGAAGTGGAGAGACCACATTACTAAGTAACTCCTACATTTTACAGACATAGTTAAACATCAGGATCTTATAGTCAAAATGCGCATAGGATCACACCCAAGCCCACCCAAGCCCACCCAAGCAGAAGAAGAGCTGATTCAAATGCGCATAGGATCACACCCAAGCCCACCCAAGCAGAAGAAGAGCTGATTCAGAGTGGAGAACAGTAGAACCAATCCGCATCCCTAAATCTGTCAAGGCTAGGAAGTGTTGCAAGTGCCACAGATTTGGGCATGTTGAATCAGACAGTACAACTAAGGGGTGATTTGCTTCACTGAGCAGGATGTTGAAAAATTGAGAATGACACAGTTGATCCGGTAGAAGACGAAGAGTTCAAAGTGATTCTCAACTTGCTGCCAACAAGAAAAAGCCATTTTCGATTCCAGTTGACCCCATGAAAGAGGTTCCAACTGAGGTAACTGTAGCTGTTCTATAAGGTAGCGACTTTGATGTAAGGGGCGTTCATGTAGAGTATGAAATTTTGGTGCTTTCAGCCATCGTTTGGTAGGCGTTGAGAGGAATATCAACAAGCTTGACTTTGGATGTCCAAAAGGGCCATAAGTTTGAGGAGTCAATACTAAACACAGGTCAATTTCAGATAAAATGATTTCAAAAATTTCAAATATAAAGTCTGTTCTTGAGTTGCCCCTACGAAAGGAGGTACAACTCGTTAGAGACGAGAAAGTTATTGGTTACTTTTGGGAGACAATCTCGAGTCATTTGAGGATTAAAATCGATTCAACAGTGTTCCTCCAGCAGAGGATCAGATAGGATGTATGAACCGTAGGGGTGGAAATCATCCCAGGATTTTCGGGAGAAAGAATATTCCATCGTGGGATCCAGGTCATTCTCGAGAAGAATAAAATGCCACTCATGAGTTGTTACACGTCAGGGTGGCCCAACCTGCTAAAGATGTCATTATAGAGTTTCCCCCCCGATAGCCTTGTTTATCAGACACATCCAACCGAGTTTGAAGATTTCGAGAAGCATATTATATATTTACTTGTTCAGAATTTGGCTTAGAAGAACCTACATCATTGTGTACCTTCGGTTCAAATCTTGCCAAAAGAGGACATATATCTGTTCTATCAAAATGTTCTTTGAAACGATGTCGTCTACTAAATTGACTTATTGGGAGCTTACAACATGACATCTGACTACTACGAGAAGGCAAAAAGCTTTGACGAATGAGATTGAAGCTCCCCCAACCTCGAGAGACTGATGCGGGGTTTGGGGGCAAGTACCCATATCACTGTGTACTTTCGACTCAGATATATATAGAAATGTATAATGTAGAAATGTATAATGTAGAAATGTATAAATGTTACCATTTAATTTTTGTAAAATGAATGGTTAGAAAATTCAAAAATGTTATAGAAACTATAAATTTTTTTGACTACTTGGTAATTGTACATTTAAAATATATGAATATGTAATATGGTTGAGATTTTTGTTGCTTGATTGTATTATATAATTAATTAATTGAACAAAACATTAATATTTCAATGAAAAAGTTAAGAGCAGAGGTCTTAGATCTTTGCTTGAGAAGTTTTTGGCAGTTTTTTAATCATACTATCGATCAAGTTTATTAATGTCATTTTTTTTTTGGAGAAATTGGTCAAAATGATCTCTAAACTATTTGTGAGGGGTTATTATTGTCTTAGACTATTGAAATTGTCTAATTTAGGGGCTATTTCAGATCAACTTTTTTTTTAAAATTTTTTTATTTATTTATTTTTTGTTTTAACATAAAAAAAAAACTTATTTGGTAATTCTAATGATTTAATTTTTTCTTAAAATTGGAAAACAAAAAACATGTTTTGTTTTCTTATTTTTTAAATTTTTTTGTGGTTGTAATATATATTTCTTAGTTTATGTTTTTGTTTTGCTTGAATTTTGATTGTTTATTGTTTATTCGAACAAAAATAATGAATGCATTAAATAGACAGATTAATTAAATGAAAAATATATATATTAAGCAATCAGAGGGCTTTCAAGGATGTGATGAATTTCTATTCAGATCAAATTAGATCATACTTTAGCTTCAATAAAGCAATCTAAACATTAAAATAGTAAATGATATGACATTGTTAAGTATTTGAGAAAAGAAAGCAAAGCATCAATCCATGCATTGAGAATCTTTTACCCTTTTACCGAATCCATATTTTTCAATAGATCCGCCATTGATAGGTGCTAAGGCAAAATTGTCAATAATTTAAAGAAATCTTGTGTATATTGTGTAATTCAATGTAACAACCTCTAAACTAGTAAACAAATGTATAAAATCAGAAACTTTCTTTTTGTATTGAAAATAACTAAGAGAAATAATCTATAAAAAAATTATGAAAATGCCTCCCGGGGAAAAATAAGAAATAATTTGTCTGTCGATCACTGAACTGAGCTCGAAGGAAGGGAGAACAACGCCGGCATCAACTTCGATGTGGGTGTCTAGTGTTTTTGGTGTCAATATTGGCATCACCCAAAGGCTGAGATGAGAGGAAAAATGAAAAAGTAGGGATAGCTAAAGTTGAGGCGGGATTTATTGTGTTAGATTGGGTGGGGGCTACTAGGGTTACAAATTTGATTTTAAAAACAGAACATATTTTATATTTGTTTAGTGTTTTCAAAATGAATTCAGATCAGTTTAAAAAACAACATAATAAAAATAAATAAAAAAGTGATGAACAAACTTATTTTTATTTTTTTATGTTTTTTGAAAATGAAAATAATAATAATAAATTAATCCCTAAAAGCCCCTTAGAGCGTTGAATACTCAAATATAATCCAAAATATAACCATATTTAGAATCACTGTTTAATTGGATGGAATTTCACACAGAAATTCGAGAATGAGATGGAAAATGAGGTAATTTTTGTAAAATGAAGTGTTAAACATTTTGATTTGTGTGAAATACCCTCATTTGCTATACCATTTGTAAACTTGCATGAAATTTCTATCATTTTAAACATTGATTTTTACTGAGATTATTTTTTCTCATATTTGAGGAGTTATGAGATTACAATTAACACTAAAAATTTTGAGTAAAGTAACTATCCGTAAGTAGTTCTGGACCATTTTAACAAGTTTTTTCCTGGTGTATTAGTCTTTTATTATATACTGTTAACTTTTGATGCTCGTATATGCGTTATGTTATTGTTTTCATTTTCTTTCCTATGAAGGGCTACTGCCATTTTAGCTGAAATGAAGAGTACATTTGGCCCGGCTGATTGTAGAATATTGTGCATTAATTCTTCTGCTGGTGGAGATGGCGAATTAAAAGACAACCCTTGGCTAAATTTTGTAAGTTTACTCTTTGGCCAAGTATTGGTTGGAATTAGCCATCATTAACAGAATCGTCCACAACTTACTGCTTTATCTTTTCTTCACAGAAAGCGCATATGTCAGTTAGCCAAGAAATTGGTTCTTTTCTCAACATCGATGATCTTCTTGAGGTAAGTTCCCGATTGTGCTGTACTGTGTAATGGGAGATTTTTTGTTTTTTTCATTTTTTCCATTATTATATAAGGGGAAAAAAATTGCTGTCAATGATTTTCATGTTGTTTCCAAGGAATGTTCTGACTCCACATCATCTTGCTGGTGCTTAACATTAGTTTTCTGTTGGTTGAATTGTACTTTTTATTTTTTAATTTTGATGTTTGCAATTTCAATACTTTAGCATTTCTCCATGAAATCAATTCTATGGTTGTTTGATGGCCAGATTAAAGAATTTATGCAAGAGTTAACTTCCAAACACATAATTCCATACATGGAACAGAAAATACGTTTCCTAAATCAGCAGGTAATTTTCTTTACATATTGCTAAAAGATATACTCATACACTTTGAAAATTTTTAATGAGCTTATTTCCCAGGTTTCTGCAACTAGGAAAGGCTTTCGAAACCAAATTAAAAATTTGTGGTGGAGGAAAGGAAAGGAAGATGCACCTGAAACTGCTAGTGGACAGATGTAGGGTTCCTAATTCAGCATTCTCGCTTACCATCTTTTTATATTTTTATTTATTAAAATGATTTTATTTAACTTTGTTTGTATTTTATTAGGTATACATTCAGTTCTACAGAGTCTCAAATCAGAGTTTTGGGTGACTATGCCTTTATTTTGCGTGACTATGAGCTTGCTTTATCGAATTACCGGTTACTTTCGACAGATTACAAGCTTGATAAAGCCTGGAAACGCTATGCTGGTGTACAGGTGGTTTGTTAGGTGCTTTTATCTTCTCAGTTACCCATGGAAGATTGGGGAAATCCTTTTACTGATCTATTTTATGCATTCTTATAAAGCATATGCCTAAACCCTGGGATTTTCCATTTTATAATGTGAACATTTTAAGGTTTTTGGTTACTTTTTGGAATTGTATCATCAATGTGAAAAAAATATGATTGTAGTATTTTTAATAAGAGTGGCTAAATGCAGTTTACACTTCATGATTTGTTGATGTTGTTGGCACACATAGGCTAACTATAGAAATATTTTGACCATGTTTTAAATCTTTTAATTGATTCTTAAGAGTTGTTATGTGTTATGTAATTTTTAGATACACGCCGGTTATCTGCATAATAGGTAAAGGTATTTATTTGAATCCTTTAGGTTTAATGATTTCCTATTAATACAAGCCGCCCTAATCTTCTCTAGTGTCGTCGCATGCATAATGACGGTTGTTCTATCCAAACATATGTTTGATGTTTATAACTTAATTAATCAAATATTGCATTTCCTTGTTTTACGTTTGCATTTTGATAAAAGTTGGTTTTTGCTTTATTAGGTTAAAATTTTTTAGGATAGATGCTGTTGGTTGGTTCCTTTTATATTCTTGTAACCCTTGAGTCCATCACTTGGCAGAAGGCCACCGTAGATCAGAAATCAAGTGGAACTCTTTCACAAAAGACTGCAGGTGGCGCAAAAAAGGATAGAGTCTATTGCTTAGCTCCTACCCAAGTTCAACTAAGACAACTTGCTTGACATCGAGTTTATTCCCACACTCATAGTGAATCTGAAAAATCTACTGCTGCTTATGGTGATAGGGTCTGATGAGTTTGGTGTTTTCTTAACGTATTTTTTATGCTCTATGCTGTTACCTTGATTTTGTTGACGAGGGGAGTATAGTTGAGTCGTCTTGTATTTGGTCTTTACTTACAATGATCAGTTTTCATCTATGAATGACCCTTAGTTTCTATTATGAAATTTATGGATAACTAATATTGACCTGCTTAATGAGATATGACTTGCCGTCTATTTTTAAATTTCGAGGATAAAGTTTTTGTAATTGGGGAATATTGTGACACCTCTTTTCAAATGCTTAAGAAAACTGAAAAGGGGGGAGAGGAAGTGAGGAGTCGGGAAAATGAATGATACTTTCGAATCAGAGACGAGATTGACCTGTTTGTAGAGTCAATTGACACACACGAAGGAAGAAGGGACTCAAAGCTCAGTGGTTGCCGTGTGCGTCTAGGGCAGAGAGGACGACGAAGATGTATGCTTCTGGTGTGATGGTTGAGTGGCTCTGTGATGTAAGGAGAGGAATATCATGTGGTCGATCAAAGCAAGTCGAGAGGAAGGAGCCCTCGTGCATGTAGGAAGGAAGCAAAATCGCGTGTAGATGAAAGAAGAATTTTTTTCCCATGGATCAGGGCTCGATCGAGATTTTAATTGTAAAATTTAATAGTTTTATTTAATTGATTTAATATATATATATATATATAAATCTGTATATATATATATATATATATATTCTAATATTAACAAAAATTTTATTAAATTAGGAATTTTGGTTTATTATTTTCTCTTGGAGAGAAATAGAAGTAGGAGAAGTGCACGAACTAAAGGAGAAGGGTGATTGACCTGTGTAAAATTAGGTAAGGTAAGATTGTATTAATATTATATTTTTATTAATGAATTCTAAAAATATATAATGAATAGCAAAATAATGTTAATTATAATTTCATAAAGTAAAATGATAGAAATTAATACTTCAATAATGTAAATTTAATAATTAATTAAAATAACATGAATAAATTAAGTTTTAGTAATATGAATATTAGGTTTATTATAGACGTCAATTTTAAAAGAATTAAGATTAAGACTTTCAAGTACAAATAAGTCGTCATCAAGGTGAGTACTCTTACTCTTATATTTATAGTAGTATTTTGTTTTATCTTAATCAATTGCATTAATAGTTATTGATATCTATTAATTCGTGCATCAGTTTATCCTTGTTTATATACTCTTTTCTTTTTGGTCATATCTGAATATTGTCTCCTTTTAGTAAAAAATAGATGTTATTTAATGATATATATATATATATATATATATTTGTGTGTGTGTGTGTGTGTATTTCTGTGTGTATGTGTCTCCATGTGTGTGTT